TGATTCGGATGACGACGTGAGATCGTTTGAGCTCACCGACGAGGAAGCCGGTTCCGAAGTTTCTCCAATAGTCGGTTCTAGCTTACCTGTTGACACTAAGGTGCAGTGTCCAATCTGCGGTGTACGTGTATCGAAGCCCTACTTAGGAAGACACAAGAAAACTAAGAAATGTTCTAACACCGCAAGTGCACAAGAGACAAGAGCTGATATGGTGGTTGTTCAAGCTACTCCTCAAGAGAAGAGTTCACGTTACAGTGTGAAGGTAGCTTGTGACCGATGTGGAGATAGTGTGTCTGTTGCAAATCTTAAACGACATCAAAAGTCAAAGAAATGTCTAGCTGCAACACAAGCTGGTGAACCAGCTTTGGTACCTGACGTTGTCACAGAACCCCGACGTCTGTCTAAGATTGAGTGTGATACTTGTGGTAAGCTTGTTACTACTTCGAACTTGGCCCGACATCAGAAATCAAAACGATGCCGTCCACCTGTGGATGTTCGCGAAAGCACTACCCCAAAAATGAAGACATGTTTGCTATGTGGAGTGTCAATGCTACCGGTTCAATGGAAGCATCATAAACTGTCGGATCGTCATATTAGCATGCTGAGACAAACTCAAAATATGGCAGGTGTGAGCTCCAGAAATGTTGTATCGATTGCTCCACCTATAAACAATCAACATGCTGTACCTTCCACGAGTGGTGAACCTGTGAAACAATATGTGTATCCTCGAGCTGGTTCAACCGATGTGGAGGTGTGTAGGATTTGTATCAAACCTGTAAAAGTGTCAGAATGGTCTCAGCATTCCAAACACCATCTTCGTCCTGAAAAGCCTCAAAAGTCTAGTTTGGATATTAGGCGATTGGTCAAAAGATATCCGAAGGTTAAAAGGAGTGTTAATGTTCCACACCCAAGTATGGACAATGTTGATCTGAATGCTATGGTGAGAAAACCTACTAGACCTCAAAGACCTGACAAATTCCTTCGTACGACCCCTCAGAGCCCACTCCCATCAACATCAGCTGATGTCCCAAATGTTGTGGAGGAAATTACACATCAAAATCTCATTGATGCATTGGATGACATTCTAAAATACACTGATTTTGTGACAGACGAACAGTTTGCAGAAGCTATTGAGGATTTTGATTTCGGAATGATTGATGAACCACACTCTGTTATGAAGAAACCCAGTAGACCTTCTCTTAAGCTCTTTATTCCTTCTCCTTCAGAGCTGAATATACCAAACAGTCCTGTTTATCGATCTCCACTCCACATTCCTGACAGCCCGTCCTATAATCCACTATCACCATTTACCTTTGGGAGTAATCCTCCTAGACTAACCCTTGGGGAAACGTCTGAAAGTTCGATTGATTTGGTTGCTCCCCCACCATCTCCAATAAGTCCACTCCCACCAACACCGGAAGTTGGTGTAGAGCATGATACTAATGGTGAGGCTGGTTGTGAACAGACACCAGAAGATAATAACGCAGGTGATGATGACAGTGGGTCATTGGAGGTAAGACAAATTGAGACAGCATTCAAGTCAAGACTCAGAACTTTTGTTATTGACAACAAGACTAATGTCAAGGATCCAACATTGTTTTTGAACATGTGCACAGATTTGGTTGAAGAAAAAATTGAAGAAATGGTCGTGGAAAGCAATATAAAAGTCAACTTTGTCTTTCATGCTGAATTTCAGAGAGTAGCTCAAGACAAGAAAATAAAACAACTGATGAATTTCAAGACTACTAATAAAATTGTGTATCCAACAACAGACATCTCTGAATATTACAATGATGCAAAGGCAAAGATACTTGCAGAGATTGAAGACTTTCAAGCAACTGGCTCTAATTGGACTTTGATGAAGGTCATTGATTTGGAAATCAGAGTAAATAAATACACACCTCTTAAGGGCTCTAGTTACATGAAACATCCACCGAAGATAGAATCCAAGAAAGCAGTGATAAACATAAATAATAATGATCAGAAATGTTTCCTGTGGTCTATCCTTGCAGCTTTACACCCTGCGAAGGATAATGTTAACAGAGTGAGTATGTATAGAGCTTATGAACATGAACTTGATGATGTTTTCAAAGACATTGAGTTTCCCATGAAATTAGATGACATTACAAAGTTTGAAAAACGTGCCAATATCTCTGTTAATGTTTACACTCTCCACGGAATCGAAAATTCAGTTGTTCCTCTCAGAATCACTAACGAGGAGATGGAAAGACACGTAGACCTGCTCTACTTGAAGTCTGCAGACACAAACCATTATTGTTACATAAAGAATCTCTCTAGACTTGTACAATCGCAGATATCAAAACATGATCATATGTTATGGTTGTGTAAACGTTGCCTGTTACACTTTGGATCAAAAGAAGGTTTGGATAGACATAGAGAGGATTGTAGCAGACATGAAAGTATAAAAATAAATCTTCCAGAAGAAGGGGCAGTCATCAAATTTAATGATTTCAACAAGTCAATGCGAGTCCCGTTCGTGGTGTATGCAGATTTTGAATGTCTTCTTGAGTCCAACAGAACCATCAAAACTGAACAAACACAAAGCTACCAAAAACACTTGGCCATGAGTTTTGCATATTACATCGTTTCCAAAGACGGAGACTACAAACCTCCTGTCACATACTTTGGTGCAGATGCTGGAAGGGTCTTTGTTGAACAACTTGAGATGGAGTCTGAAAAAATAAGGCATTTGTATTCTAGTGAGGCTATCAAACCTATGGATTTAACAGTAGATGACCAGCGTATCATATCAAATTCAACAACATGTCATATTTGTGAAAAACCTTTAGAAGATGATAGGGTCCTTGATCATGACCATTTAACAGGACAATTCAGAGGAGTTGCACACACCAAATGCAACATTCTGTACAGGAAACCCAAGTTCATTCCTGTCTTCATTCACAACCTCTCGGGCTACGACACACATTTGTTTATTAAAATGTTGGGTATGAATGATGAGGAAATAGAGGTGATCCCAAACAATGAAGAACGATACATATCATACACAGTTAAAAAGCAGAACATGATCGAACTGAGGTTTCTGGATTCGTTCAAGTTTATGTCCAGTAGCCTTGATGCACTCACCAAAAACCTTCAGAAAGATCAGTTTACACATACCGCTAAATACTTCAATGAATCCGAGTTGAACCTGGTTTTGAGAAAAGGTATTTACCCATATGATTACATGGACAGTGAGGACAAATATGAGCTAACTCATCTACCTAAACAGAAAGAATTCTACAACATACTGACTAAATCAGACGTCGACCCTAAAGATTATGAACATGCTAAAAGAGTGTGGGATTCATTTAAGATGAAGGATATGAAAGAGTACACATTGATGTACAACAAATCAGATGTCCTCCTACTAGCTGATGTTATGGAGAACTTCCGAAATGTGTGTATGTCGACGTACAAACTAGATCCTGCATGGTTTTTCACAACACCTGGTCTTGCTTGGAGTGCTATGCTAAAAACGACGAACGTTGAACTGGAACTGATTTCAGATTATGATATGCTACTTATGATTGAGAAGGGAATTAGAGGTGGTGTATCGCAAAGTTCTAATCGCCATGCCAAAGCCAATAACCCCTACATGAAGGATTACGATTCGAGCAAACCAACTGAGTACCTGGTGTATTTGGATGCAAATAACCTATATGGGTGGGCAATGGTTCAACACATGCCTTACGGAGATTTCAAATGGTGTGATACAAACATCGATGTCACTGAAATCCCCGACGATGCTGATACGGGCTATATACTTGAAGTGGATTTGGAATATCCTAAAGACACTCACGACTTGCATTCCGATCTTCCTCTTGCCCCGGAGCAGAGAGTACCACCAGGAGGAAAAGAGGTTAAACTGTTGACAACGCTTTATGACAAAGAGAAGTATGTGGTTCATTACAGGAATCTCAAGCTGTACCTCAAGCTTGGATTGAAACTGAAGAAGATCCATAGAGTCATTTCCTTTAGGCAATCAAACTGGATAGCTACTTATATTGACCTGAATACAAAACTGAGAACTCAGGCAAAGAACGATTTCGAAAAAGAGTTTTACAAACTGATAAATAATGGTGTGTTTGGGAAGACGATGGAGAACATACGTAACAGAGTGGATGTGCGATTGGCAACAAAGGAAAAACAAATTGTCAAATGGATCGCTCAACCTACATTCAAGGATCGTACAATATTTGCTGAAAACCTCTCTGCTGTGCATATGAAAAGGACAAAGCTCCTGTTCAATAAACCCATATATGTTGGTATGAGTGTATTGGATGTTTCAAAGACTCTAATATACGATTTTCACTATAATGTGATTAAATCGAGGTACGGCGACAAAGCACGATTGCAGTATACAGACACTGATTCTTTAAAATATGCCATTGCCACCTCTGACTTTTACCAGGATATGAAAACCATGATAGATTACTTTGATACAAGTGACTACCCTGAGAACAATCCGTATGGGATGCCTAGAGTCAACAAGAAGGTTCTTGGTAAAATGAAAGATGAGCTGAGTGGGAAGATTATGCGAGAACAGATTGCTCTAAGATCTAAGATGTATGCTCATGAAGTCGAGGATGGTAGTGTATGCAAAAAGTCAAAAGGAGTCAAAAAGTCAGTCACAGAGAAGGAAATAACATTTGACGACTACAAAAAATGTTTGTTTGAAGGTTTGGTCACCACTAAAACCATCAATATGATTAGAAGTTTCAGTCATGACCTCTATACCATAGCACTCAATAAAGTAGTGTTGTCCAACCAAGACGATAAACGATACATTTTAGATGATGGAATCCATTCCCTCCCCTGGGGTCACTATTCAATAAACCATTAACTTAGAAATTACTCTTTTGCAATTCCTTTTCATAAAACGAACCCAGGATCTCTTCTCCGTCCCCATCGATGATTCTGTAAGTTACCGGTGCTGTAGACTGAATGTGAGAAATTGTGAAAACCTCTGTTCGCCAGTTTCAAGCGTATTTGTTGGCAAACGTATCTTTCTTTGCTACTATTCTCACTCGATCGCCAACTCTCAGTTTAGGTCGTGGACGTTTCACTGATCGAAATTGATCGAGGTACAAGCTACGAATTTCTGGCTCGACTTTCACAGTCACATTGACCGGCCTCATGCGAATGGTGGAGTGTACACTTGTGTTGTACTTACTCAACAGACCCTGCAGTATGTCTATCCAACGGAACGACCCCCTAGCTTCGAAATGCACTTTCATTCGTTCGTTGAGTGTGCGATTGAACCTTTCAACTATGGAGCTCTTTTCTTCATTCTCCGTATGATACATCTTTATACCATGTTTGGCGAGAAGACATTTAAAATCCTTGTTGACGAACTCTCTACCCTTATAAGTGTGTAATAGGTTAGGCGCTTTGTGACCATTGCCTTTAGCTCTTTGTATAATGGCTTCAAACGCGTTTGTCACTTCGACACCGCTCTTCCTGAGTAATGGTTCGGACCATGCGTACTTGGAAAATGTATCAATCACATTTAGCATATATTTATATCCATCGTTTTCCCGGAAGAACTTGTCCATTATAACCAGGTCAGCTGCCCACAGGTCGTCTATGTGAAGAGTGACAATTTTGCGTTTTGGAAACTTTTTTGTTACTGGTCGATGAAGCTCTCGTGCCTCTTCAAATTTGACATCGACGATTCCTGGTACAGACGCTTTTGTGAATGTGCTCTTCTCGCGTAAGCACTCGACACATCGGCCTCTTAACCGCCACTTGTCGTTAACCGTCTTGATACGTTCCACATCGGTTGAAGCGGTTTTCCTTTTACACTTGGCACAATAAAATTCGTATACCATTTCGAGCTTATAATAAGAGTACTTATAGTGATATAAGCACAACATGAGTGAATTGCACAGGCACACCATTCGTCTGTCTGAAGGGCAGAAACGTGGGCTTCGTATCGCCTATAAGAAACGGAGAAGTGCTATAATTGGGCTGACGAGTGACGACATAGGTCGTGGTGGAACGGACCATATCCTGTTAGACAGTGTCCAGCATAAGGCTATTGAGAAAGCGAGACGAAACCAAACAGGCATTCGGCTGAACCTCAGCTACGACCAGCTATTGAAAAATAAACAGGGAGGTCTCCTGAAAGAAGTGTTGGAATTTGTGGAGGGTACCGTTCCTGGTGGAAAACGTTTCATCTCACCTGTTGTCAGAAGACACCTAGCACCGATGCTGAAGGAAAGGTTTATTCCATGGTTGAAGCATTTGATTGACAATGAGTTGGACACGATAATAGACAAGGATCCCAAGGGCGCTGGTTTGAAAAGATGCATCAACAGGAAATTGGATGCTTTACTATTACAAAAAAACGGATAAGCCCCTTAACGCTTGGTGACCTCGAACGATGGGCCAAAGTGTTGGGATTGAAAGGATTTCGAGGTGTCTTCATGTGTGAAGTTTTGCCAGAATCCCCATGGGAAATGGAATGTGGTATTTTGAATCTCGGTGACTTGGACTCGAATGGTACACACTGGACCTGTTATATAAAAATGCATAATGGCAAAAAGCTGTATTTCGATTCATTTGGCAACGCTCCACCACCAATTGAACTTGTGAAGTATTTAGGTGAGCGTGATTTGCTTTATAATGATATGCGAGTACAGGAGTTTGAAGACCCTCCTATTTGCGGTCATCTCTGCCTTGAAGTTCTGAAGCGATGTTCAAACGATGATACAAATTGGAACACGATCATAAACACTTTAAGAGATGACAAATACTCGTGGCAATCTTGGTGGAGCAAATTATAAGTGTACCATGCCGCTATTAAAACTTAGAGGTACAAGCTCTCGCGTCACTCTCCACTTGGAACACCCAATCCACCTGGAAGAGAACGTGAAGCATCGCATGGCACTTGTTGCGTTCTTTACAGACAACAATATTTACAACGTCCGTGATGAAGCGAATATTTTCTTCTGGGATAGTGACGTTCATGCAATACCGAATCCTCTCACTTTCACAAGAGGTTACTGGACGATCGAGTCTATGGAAGCTACTGCAAAGGACTACATAAAATCCTTGAATCTAAACGTTGATCCTACTAAATTTAGACTGAGTAAAAATGGTGATTTTCTTTCTGTGTACTCGCCATTGAAGTTCTATATGGATCAAGCGTGCTGCAAGTTGTTTGGTTTTGATCCTCCAACAAAAGAAAAACAGAAGAGAGCTGACAGTAGCTCATACCACATTGAGAACCAAACAGTGACAGGAACAAGACCTCCAAAGTTGAGGGCAGTAGATACCATCGAGATACACTGCAATATAGTGCATAACAGTCTTGTCAACCACAACACACATGATCACAAACATGCGGAAACTGAACTGCTATACACGTTCTTTCCTCAAGTTCCACATGGGTATAAGATATCTGAACAACCAAAGGAAAGGTTATATGTCGATTTGAAACCAGGGTTGAGGACAATTCACTGCATAACAATCAACATACTTGATCAAGATAACAACCCGATACTCAATAGTAATGTTGAAAACCTGGTGTACTTGGACTTGGTATCATTATAAGAGCATCATGATGTCTATATTTAAATTCAATCGGTTCGGAGAAGAACTGGCTGACAGCAGTGCTAACCAAAATAGCATTTCAACAGATAAGTTAAATGAAAAACTTTCATCGTTGGAATTCACTTGTAAGCACGATACAGATTCAAAGATCAGTAACATGAAAAGAGAATTTATTTCTCAGGTAGATAACATGTTTGATAAGCTAAAAAAAGATCTGACCTCCATTATAAACAAACAAGTTGGGTTCGAGAAACATTTTATTAGCGCCAAGAACAAAAGAATAGTGAAAGTTGCAAAAGCTATAGATAAGACTGACGTGGTTGTTAAAGAGCAGCTCGAAGAAGTAAATGATAAAGTTGACGGTATTTTGAAAGGTCTTGAAGTCACAAAAGACTGTATTCAGATAAAAGGAAGTCGAAAGATCTGTGGAATCAGTCGCAGCAACAGTGCATATGATGCTATTAATGGAATTGAACTTCTAGAGCTGTCTAAACGTCTACACCGAGTAGAAACTTTGATTGGTAGGTCTAGAGCAACAACAGTCGATGTTTAAATCAACAGAGCGAGACATTAGGCTGTCAAGGAGTTTCCTATGAAACCAACAAAGTGGTGTTATAAGTAAAGACAATGGAAATAAACGTCTACTGTAGAGATGGTGAAAGGGCGGAAGGTGGCGTTTTCCCAAAACCACTTCGTTGCTTGATCGTTGGTCCATCAGGATGTGGAAAAACCAATTTACTGCTTAACCTCATATACAACAAAGATGGTATCACTTTTAAACATCTCTACGTGTTCAGTCGATCAATAGAACAACCAGCGTATCTTGATTTAAAAAAGCACTATGAAAGAGTTCAGAAAAACCTCGGTTGCAAAATAGCGTTCTTCTTCTCTGATTGTTCTGACTTGATTCCATTGGATGAATGCAAACCAAATTCACTGGTTGTGTTTGATGACTGTTTACTTGATGAGCAATCAAAAATCAAAGACTATTACATCAGAGGGCGTCACAAAAATATATCATGTATATACCTGAGTCAGAGCTATGGTCGAGTCGATATGCAAGTAATCCGCAACAACCTAAATCTGCTATGTGTGTTTCAACAGAACAAGCATTACTTGACACGTATTCATGAGGATTTTGTTGGTTCCGATATGTCATTATCTGAGTTTGAAAAACTATGTCGTCGGTGTTGGAAGGAACAACATGGATTTATAACCATCAATACCACTAAAAAAGCACACACTGGAAAATATAAATGCATGCTGAAGAAAACTATATTTACAACCTCAATGTGAAATGTCACTTCTTAAGCTAGAAACGATATATAACGTTTTTTGATTGAAATGTCGTTTTTCGACGATATTGTCGTTTTTAGACTATAAACGTTATATCACGTTTTTTATGGAAATGTCGTTTTTCGATGGATATGTCGTTTTTGGACTATAAACGTTGTATCACGTTTTTTTTTATTGAAATGTCGTTTTTCGATGGATATGTTGTTTTTAGACTAGAAACGTTATATCACGTTTTTTTTATTGAAATGTCGTTTTTCGATGGATATGTCATTTTTAGACTAGAAACGTTATATCACGTTTTTTCTGACGTTGTATAATATAAGTGATCACAGGCTATGATGGATGCAAAAGCTGCTAAACGACTTGAAGCTATCGAGAATAACCTGGTGAAAAAGTTTCATGACGCAGAATTGGAAGAGCAAAAACAACGTGAACAAAAACTTAAAGAGATATCAGTTGTATCATCTCCAACAAAAAGTCCATCCACCACAATTGTTACAAGGGATGTCCACAAACAACCGTTGACTGTCACCAAGGCAAAGCAACTAGAAAATGTCAAAAATAGACTTCAACAACAATTTGCTAACGTACACATTTTAGAAAGAGAGGAACAACGAGAAAGGGAAAAGAAATATCAAACCATTACCGATGCAATAAAAGAGAAAAAGGAAAGAGATGATTTATTAGAACAGAAGACAAAGGAGTGGTTGAAAAAACAAAAATACAATCAATTGGTTGCTCGTTTTAGACCAAGAGTATACAGTACACCAGATCGTAAACAAATTCCCTTCGATAACGAAGATGAAGTGAAAACTGAAAACGTTCAGAACAAATCAATCAGACAGTTGGTGGACTCAAATGTAATCAATTTGGGTAGTGTTGGTGCGAGATACTTACCTCGTGCAAGCGATTCACAGTTCGGTATTTATTATGATGTGTCGGGTGAACGCTTGAAAATTGGATCAGAACCAATCACCTTTAATTACGATGATATAGCGATGTCAGGTAAAAGTTTTGTCGGCAGTGATGGTCTTTGGAAACTCTTGACCAATAAAGGTTTTGTTAAGTCTGACGAGTACTCATCTGACGATTGGAATTCATACAAGGAAATTCTGTTGACATCCAACTCGTTGTATCAAAAGAACGACCCCTCGACTAGACGACCGAAATCAAGTCAGGGTCAAAAGTGGAAACAGATGATCAAACCCATTTGGGACGAGATAAATAAGACCGCAACCCCAACTACATCAACGCCCACAGAGACAGTTGGGTCTGGGTTGAAACGGTACGATGACAAAACACCAATCGAATATCGGTACATAAAGGATTTAAACGAATTGATCAGTCGGCTCAATTTCATACACGCTGAGGAGGCTGCTGGAAACAATAACTTTCACAACGAGAAGCTATCAGTCGTGAAATTCATATACGACCGCATGCAGGAGCTAATCGAACGACCAAACGGATTGAAGTATCTCATACGCTGTCTGTCAGCGTTACCTGAACACGCTATTCAAGGATCGGGGTTGTTGAACAACTTAATCAACAGTTTACCGTTTGAGCTACACGCTCCACGTAGTTGGAATCTTGATACATACAATTATTGCGGACCTGGTACAAAGCTATCTGATCGCCTGGCTCGTGGTGACAAAGGAGTTAACCCCTTAGACGAGGCATGCAAGAAACATGACATGTGGTATCGGGATCATAGGCGTGCCGAAGACCGATGGGTGGCAGATAAGAAATTGCAAGACGCCGCTTGGAATAGGGTCACGTCTTCTGACGCCGATCTAAACGAACGCGCTGTCGCACTCGGTACCACCGGCGCAATGTGGATGAAACGCAAACTCGGTCTCGGGCTAGGAACGTCTGTATGTATATAAGTGAGAGAAAGAGTACAATGGAAAACGCATGGACGATTCTTTCTCGGGAAGCGAAAGCACCTAAGGGCGTTCTCACAGACGAGTTTGTTATGAAG